AAACATACAATGTAAATTAGTGATATATTTCTTGTCCATGGGCCAGAGTTGCACAATTTCTATTTACAGTTTGGTGTAAAAGTTCTTTGATTTAATCTTTTGTAACACATGTAAAATGAACTTGTAATTTGTATGAAGAGAAATTTTACAAAGAAACCCACAACCAACCAACGGAAAAGTCACTATGCTGGTACCCTTCGAGTTGACAATTCAAGATTGTTGTATTTATTCCAAACCTTTGAAATTGAAAACTTAGTCCATCTACCTGATTTGAAACTTGTGCCAAATGGCAGCCATCTAAAGCAGTGGGGAAGCATGCGATAGCGGATCGCTTCTCCTAGTTAAATCACTCTGTTTCATAGGATGCCCACAATTCTATGACATATCCTGCGAGGGTTGGGAATGAAATTCTAGTCTTGCAAGGATTGGGGATATTACTGTGTCCATTATTATGAAAAGTTACATGGTTCTTCCCTTGAACTAAAAGTCACACTCCAATCAAACCTACTTGGACCAATTACCTCAAAGATATCTAAATGCGTTCCCATTCATTAGAGGCAACACAACGTGAGAAATAGGTCCAAATTAATCGCGGTAGATGAAAAGATTGACAACAGATAGAATTAAAGCGAAGCTAGTGGCTACCACCATCCAAGATTGCTGCAAATATGCGCGCACACACACACACACACATATTTATATATATATATATAGCTTCAAATTCTGTGATGAGATACTTCCGAAATAATCAAGCATTAGAGGGTTGAGGAAGACGAAAGATAATACTTAAGGAAGTTGTTCAATGAGAACTCTTGGTTAATAACGTTCTTAAAAGCTTGATTGATGAATGACTGCAATCTATGTAGCCGCCTAGCAGGACAAGGATAAGATTTATCATTGTTATTGTATTAGAAACAACAGATTAACATGGGAAAGAAAAAATTGAAAAGAGACAGCGCTGACATAGCATCGAGTATTATCACAGAAACTAAACCAAGAAAAAAAATTTCAGATGCGACTGAGCCGCTTACTCGATACAAAGGAGAAAGCAAAGTTCAGCTTAGAAAGCGAAACTACATTAGAATATAAGCAGCAATCAGATGGCTGATTTGGTGAGAAAGATTGTGCCCATGGTGAGCCTTCTTTCGTCTTCCAATTTCTAATATATCCATTCATTTGCACGTCTTCTTAGCTTCAACATATTTGAGAGTTCAAGAGTTCCTTGTTTCCTTGTTCATACTACAGAACCTCCTGAACTCAAAAGATAAAAAAAAAATTGGATATTATATATATAATTTAAATGTTACTTTCTTCCCTTCCTCTTTTGGAAGTTCATTTCCTGTCTTGAATTGATCAATTTTGGTTTTGTAAGGCACCAATCATCAATTTATTTTCTCTAACAGCAAGGAAAAAGAAATTTTAATCTCACTCAAATACAGCATCGTTAACAGTAATAAAGTAAAACATTTTAACAAGTAATTAGGACACACAGTTAAAATCATGGCACAACCCAATGCATGACGTTATCCGTACTCCATCAAATAAAAACATGTCATTTATATTGTTATAAGTATAAATTGATTCTACCATTAATGATGGTAGAGAGAGAAAAGGCAAAAAAAAAATAGCCATTCTACTCTAAAAATAAATTCTTTAAAAATAATGACACATAAGATTTTATTAGATTGGATGAGTGGTCCTTGCAAAAATTTCTCCCAAAGATGTATATATAATTATATGCATAGTGAAAGGAACGAAAATATTAAGATCCATGCTAGATGATGAATAAAATAGGGATTTTTTTAATTTGTTTTTTGAGCCATGAATAACAATGGAATTTAGATAACCAAGAACTAGGAAGAAAATGAAAAGTTCACGAATGCTATGCAATACAATATTAACATTTTGTTAGGACAACCATAAAAGTTCAGCTTTATAGTCTATTACAAACATTTAATAATCATTAATAAAAGTTAAGTTTAGTGAAAAGAATTGGTTCCTTACAATAATACAAATCAAGGTTGGAATCCTCTCAGGAAGAAGTTCTACAAGTAATGTCCAACCATGTTTTGAACATGATTACTTCCAAGAGAAAGTGCTATATGCAATAAAAAAAACATTTCATAATTAAGAAAATATAAATCATCATAAATAATTAGCATAGTAAAATAAATAAGCCAGCCCATATTGAACTTATAGTTGCATTGTGGACTGTTCACACTCAAGCCTTTCAATCAATTATCAATATTCTGGGTGCACCTATAAAATGTAGTACCAAAATGCTAATGATTGTACCAGAATCCTAAGAGTTTTGTCTCTTCATATCTATTTTTGCACTCCCAAGATTTAAGACTGCAATAATATCCTAAAGACAGGCACAAGAAGAAAAGGAAAAAAAGTACTTCAGATGTTAAGTAACTAGATAATGACAATTTACGTGCGTGCGTATAGGGCTTTTGTCTAGCTTCTATTTTGAGCAATAGAGATAGAATGATGCCTGGTAGGCTTCAGCACAAGATGGAAGCTGGCCATGTTGGTGCTCTTTTCTTTCACACAAAAAGAGTTGTTTTCTTCATCCTCATAACTTGTACAGAAATTGCATATTCCTTGTCTTTTGCTTACCCCACTTTTAAGGAAGATGATCTGAGGCTGGAAGGAGATGTCTTGATTTATTCACCTTCAAGGATCGATTTGAGTGCAGGTGGATTGGATCGAGATGATATTTACCATGTTAGACGAGTCACTGGCACACAAATGATGCAACTCTGGGATAAGACCTCACGAAAACTGTGACTTCGAATTCCAGAAAAAGTTCTCTGTTGCCTTATTAACAAATACGAATCATTCTAGATGGATTTCCGTTCTTCTGAGCAGAGCCAGATCTGCCATTTTCAAAGGATATTGAGGAAGGAGATGGGGACCAGATACTGAAATCAGCACAACATCATTTTGTTGTCGAAAGCTCTGCTCAGATTGTCCGTCATATATTGTTTTAGTACTTGTGCCGCAGCCAACAGTTAAATTATTTTCAAGTGATCAGGAAGAGGATCAACTTGTCAATTTTACAGTGCATAAGCCATTTGTTTATTATGTAATATTTGTTCCGTATAAAATAGCCAGTGTTCAAGGTCATGCCCTGATTAAGCAGTGGATGAATTAGTCTAAATTGGGGTAAATTTTAATTACATCCGATTGAACCACATAGGATTATTCCCCAGTCAGAATTATTATTTACATGACCACATGTTGTATTTCTACTTTATCGTGCATGTATCTAGAATTTAGTACTGCAGGTTGTATTTATTCAATTATTATTGAGTGGCTCTTCTAATATCAATTTTTTTTTAATTAACAATGTTCGAATTCTTGACCTTGGTTAAAAAAAGTCGAGACGCTTCCACTCAACTCTCCCATTGAAATATCTTTTTTATACTATTCTCTCCAATAATTATTTAGTGTGATGCCTAAAAATGACTCAAACACACGCATGTTCCCCCATGATCCTTTTTTCCACTATTCTATGAATAGTTTTGAATATTTGATTATGTTAACTTTTCTTCTTTCGTTGACGTCGCTCAATGCTTTAGTGTGCAAAATAATAATATACTAATAATATTGCTAAGTTTCTTACTATTTATGTTTACAATTTTTTTATTAATTTCTCTCTCATTCCTTGTTTAGAAAAGTCTACAAGATTTTTCTTCCCTTCTTACTATACCAATGTTAATTTTAAATGCAAATTGCACGTAATTTTATGTTGACTTTACAATTCTTTAATTTTCATTTTGCGCACATGTACGTGTATGCACACACATAAAGTCATAACTACATTTGCACACACTTGAGAAGGTTTATTTTACAACCAAAAAACAAAAAGAACAGAAAAGAGAAAGTGGAAAAAGGAATGGATTAAGTTTCGGCACAATATTGACCTAAACAAAAGTTCACATCCATCAATATTTTCTCGCTGTCATTGCATAGAGTTGCTACAAAAAATGTTTATGTGATAAAAACATAAAAGGATCAAGATTTACTGAAGGACATGTGAATTATCTGAGACATGGAAATTTTTGTTTAACTCATTACAGGATTGTTAAAATGTTTTCGTTTGTTATTTATGACATCGATCAGTAAAATGTTTTCACTCAAGTAATACGAAGAACGTCTAAGGATTTCATCATTTTCATTATTATAGAATATGAATTATTTTTAATGGTTAATTAGGATTAAACACTATCATCATTTCCAAAACGAGTCTATCTAGTTATGGTGAAATTTGATGTTAAAGGCCCCAATTAGCACCGTAGGACATAGAATAAGTTAAAGAGAAGAGGGAAAAAAAATCATTGAACATGATTAACTTTTAAATGTTAATCACAATATGCATAGTCATTGATTCGTTTTCTCCTTGACTTACTCATCGTAGGTGATGCGTGGATTTATTTGCATTGGGGCACGGAAAAGAACAGAGAAAGCAATATTGATCTGATGAATTTTTTTCTTAGTAGTGAATGTACTCAGCCATTGCCTATTTATATGAAAGAAAAAATAATTAAACTTACAATAAACGAATGATAGTAAAAATTTAACTATCATTTATTTTTTATAAATTTAATTTGTTTGGAGAAAACAGAAAGTAATTAATAGGTAACATAACAGTAACACACCCAACCTTGGTACACATAATTCCTTTTTTCTTTTTGTTTTTTTTTTACCAGCTGGGTACACAGAATTGTAAGTAGTTTTATTGAGACGAACACTATGACTTAGGCAGGAAAACAAAAGAAGTTCAACAATCATTTGTTTATTAGCTATCATTCGCTTCTCATAAATACGCCCAGGGTTAATAGTTTTGGAAAGCAGAGAATAATATTGGGCTCGTATGTAATAGTAACACGTCTCTAACCTTGAGTTAACAAAACTGTATGTAATTTTTTTGAGGTAAACACTACGAATTCTGCAAGAAATTAAACCAAATCAAATTGAAGCAAACAAAAAGGTACAATGTAAACCAGAATTCATTATATTTATTTAAGCAACATATAATTGAAGTTACATGAGCAAATATAATTGCTTTTGCATGCATTATATAATTGAGGTTACAACATCAACCTGCATGCATCATGCATATTTATTTAAAGTAGAATATAATTACGGATCGGTAGGGGATGGTCTGTTTAGTTATTGTCGTACCAAGATTGCTTTTGAAGAGAGTCAATTATTTTCTTGTCAACCTGGAATGCCTTAGCGAGAACATCAGGAGAGATGAGAGGATTGGATTTAAACAGAGCATTAGCAATGGTAATCACTCCTGGATTTTGGCTGCTAAGACCGGCAATGGCTACAGCATTGTCATGCCCAACATTGAGTTGAAAGTGAATCTGACCAATGGGGAACACAAACACATCTCCTTTGTTGAGGACTTTGGTGAAGAGGCGGTTATCATTTTGATTGGAAGCCACAAATCCAACCAAGAGAGTTCCTTCGATGACGATCAATATCTCAGTGCCTCGGGGGTGAATGTGAGGAGGATTCAGACCATATGGCGCAAAGTCAACACGAGCAAGGGAGATACCAAGAGTGTTGAGTCCTGGAATTTCTGTCACAGCCACTGGAGTCACTTGGGAGCCTAATGGGTTGGATGTATTCCCCGGCATTACGTGGTAGAAGAAGTCTTCTGCTTTGACAAGTTTGGGATCTTTGCAAAATTCCCCATTCACGAATACTGCACAAAATTCACATGCAAATGCCCAATTAATAAGTATAGCTAGTCAATAGCCTTGTATGCATGCTAACTTATTGGATCCCAAAAAATGACTTTATGTGAGTGAAGAGGGTTATAGAGCGAGAAAATAGCAGGCCGAGCCTACTTTTAACAATCTATATCTCTCATAAGGATTGACCTCTTTAGATATATCTCTCACCATATCACTTAAATTGTCACTTTTGGAGATCCCAGAGATAAAATATGCATGTTATTGTGTGTTTGTGTGTGTGTGTGTGTGTACCTCCAAGTTTGTTATCTTTGAGAGCCACACAAAAATCTTGGAGAGGGCTGGGGTCATAGGCTGAAGCAATGGAGGAAGCCAAAGCCAAGAGGGCAACGAGGGAAATCACTAATGAACCTTTCATCTTTGAATTCTCAAATCCTTAATTTCTTTGATTTGTGTTTGTTGTGGCAAAACGCATTTGTTCTTGTGACGTATTTATAGCTGGAGGGAGGAGCTACCATTTTTGAATTGGTATGACGGAACCAAAGAATTGGTATTCGCTTTCAGTTTCGACTTAATCAAAACAAATGCATAACTCAATTATTTTTGGAATTGGTATTGATCATTCTTAGTTTAGTCTAAGCCGTGCGTTCTTTAACAACTACGTAACTTCGCCGGGTTCATTTTTTAATTATCAACGTCGCTGTAGATGTTTCACCAAACACGTATTGCCACTTTCTCTTTTGTTTAATTAGCTGTGTTCACACAAGAGTTTTGAGATTTAGTTAATTCAATCGGCCTTTTTCACAACGCTAGGCCTCCAATTTACAGCCATAGCATTATTATGTTTAAGTAGCGGAGTAATAAATGTTCTTTAGTAGTCCTTAATTGTGATTTTCCCAGTATGAAATTAGTTTATTTCTTGGAGATCAATAACAATTTGAAACCAAACTATGAAGGGAAAATCACAATCAAATATTACTGAACAACATTTATTGCTCTGCAAGACCAAATAATTCTGATATTGTTCTGTAGGACCAAGGAACCAAATAATAAATGTTGTTCAATGGTCCTTGGTTATGATTTTCCTAAACATGAATTTGAAATCAATTCATTACCCAAAAGGATATGAAATTTCGGTAAAGGACCAAAGGTTCTTAAATTATTTGACATTTATATTTCAAAATTTAACCCAAAAAAAAGTTTGAAATATCTGTCAAATTTAACTTTGTAATATTATTACTTTTATATATTACATGATATCAATATCAGCTTTTGTTTGTCCAAAAAATAAAATACCAGCTTTTGAAATATCATAGCCACACTGCTTAACCTGTAATCCTTTTTTAGAATTTTAGAATCACTTGGTTCCACAATTGTAATTCATCATTTTGTCTCAAATTAATCCATATATCATCCCCTCTATGTTTTTAATGTGTGTGTCTTTTTTATAATAAAAGATAAGTGTGAAAGTAATTTTTAATCCCAAAATTATTTTATTTATTTATATTTCGAATACCGAATATATAAATGGACAAGATTTTGGCTTCATTATGTCAATATTGTGGCTTGAGCATGGCATGACTTTCTAGAATTAGCTTGACGCTTAAGTAACCAGTTTCATCAGCATCAGTTTTGCTATTTCAATCATTTAATATATTATTAGAATCAAATTAAGATTCTAATGTGAAGAGGGTCCCTCTAGAGCGACTTCTTCCTGTCTTCCTGATGTAGAAAAATTCCAGTTAGTAAATATTAGTATAGTTGGTAAGGACTTGATTTATATAATTTATAAAATCATGGCTGAATTGAAATCTCAGTGCAATTGTGTTAATCTTGCTAGTAGGTGATCTGTCAATATATTTGTATGAATTCTCTAAGTCCAAAAGAATGCTATGGGACTTCTTGAAACTCAACATAACCTAAAATTTTTGTATACCTAAAAAAGACAAGGTCAAGCCAAAAAAAAAAATTGTTTGTACACACTTATTTCATTGTTGATTAGACATCATTAGTAGAAATTAAACGTTGGTTGGCACCATCCTCATTTTAATTTATCAAGATGTAACAGTTGACCAAAGTAGAAAGTTGGATTTAAATATATGAATAAATTACATGCATATATCTGTTTATGGAAATGATCAACTCTTTGAATTTGTCAACGCTTCTTTTGCATAATCAAGGTAAGACCAGGATGAAGTGATGTGGAATGGATCCGTCATAAACTTTTTTTTTTTTTTTGTTTAGAGAACCCGGGGCATACGAAAACATTATGTTAGAACTTAGAATATATAAGACTTGAAAGCACAAAACATATGAGAGCTTGTTTAGTTTTATTCCATTTTTTTATATAAAAATGTTTTGTGAAACCAATTTTGATTTAAAAAATAAAATGAAAATCCATTTGATTATATTAATTTGAAAAAAAATTTAGAGTTTAAAAAAGACAAATAATGGTGGTCAAAAATGGTTGATGATGATAACTTATGATAATGGTTGGTCATAACTTCAGATAATTTACAATTATTAAATATAATGTACTTTAAAAATAAAAAAGAAAACAAAAATAACTCTACTTAAGTTGCTTTCTTTTTATTGTTTTTTTAAAAACAAAAATGTAGAACAATTTTTAAAAATATTTAAATTTAATATACTTAACCAAATGAATATTTTTATGTTTTTTGAAAATAGAAAGTTTTTTTTCCTTGTAAAATAGAAAACAACAGCCCTGGTTATCTAAAGCCCTAGGGCCTAGATAAACTCGTTTCTAGATCCCTAGCTATAAAAAGGCACAATAAGAATTGATCAAACTCTTTTGTAATCTATGAGTATTCATTCAAACATACAACAGCAGAAAGTGTAAAATTTTGCAATAAATTCAATATTATTCATATGTTGAAAATAACTAAATACATCTTGATCTTTAAATAGACAAAGTTTCCTAAATGACTTTGAAGAAAAAAAAATATATTCTAAAATAAGGGGATAGGATGTAAACTACAAAAGTTGGTTTAATGATATATGTATGTATGTAATAAAAAGATATTAGTACTTGGCATTCAATATATTTAAAATAATAAAACCAATTTTCATCGAAAATAATAATAAAAAAAATAAATTTTACAAGATAATGACTCTTAATAGATAATCTAAAATATTCCAAATCTGAAAAATCCTAATTAAACAAATAAAATACAAAAATAGAGTAATAAAACCATAACTAATCATGAGACATTGTCCTTAAGCATCTTCATTCTTCCTGTCCTCCTTTAATTTAGTCATTATTGGACTTCCTATTTGTTTACTTCCAATTGCCACTTGAAACTTGCAGGCCACATGTTTCATCTTTTATCAAATAAGTGCCTAGTAGAATGTTATGTGGGACAGGATGTAATAACCCATTAATTTTAATAAAATTATAATTTAAGGTAAAATATTTTAAGTATATTATTATAAATTTTTGGGTAGATTTAATAAGATATATTGGTGATAAAAAATCTTAGAGCAAATATGGAGCTCCTTCTTTCTTAACTAGGACTTGAAGAAGATATTTTAGGGCCGAAGAGATTTTGATATTAAAATAGGTGATTTTGTTTTTGTCGGGGAAATTTTGTCTTTTTGATTGATTTCTCTATTTCATTCCACACTTTTTTCAGCATTTTCCCTGCCATAAAAAGAATATAACGTTCACAATATAAGTCATATTTCAAAAAAAAATTGAATTGCTTATTAAATTTGTTAAAACAAAAATTACATTCCTTCCACCATTTTTCAATATCAAGGATAAAATAGAGAGAGCATCATTAATATACCTAATTAAACATTAGTTGTAGTTTAGATCAAAGGAGTATTTTTTCCGTTCTACTATGTTCATATATTAATATTCATTTTAATAGCTAAATGGGCCTTACATGTTTTGTGTGTTATGTTTTGTTTTTGGTAGACTATGATGTTTTGTACGTGATAGTATTTTTTGAGCTTAACCCATTGAAATATCGCCCAATTCTATTTTTTTTTCCCATCAATCGTTCCTCATTTCTATTTCTATTATATTAAACAAAAACAAAAACAAAACAAAAAGGAAATAGAAGAAAATAGAGGAATCAGAAACAGAGCACGCATCTCATTTGCTTTCCCTCCTCCTCCATTTCGATAGTGCTAGAGACAAGTGAGAGAGGAGAGGAGAGTTTCGTATGTTCTTCCTCCATTCTTCCTCCTCGACTCATTTTGGCAAGCCACCGGTGACGTGTTCATGCATTTTTCATCAGAGTTCTAGTTTACGCGACCATCTTTCTCTTCCCCTGTTCTACCATCAGTCCCTTTTTTCTTTTTTAAATCTTTGATCTCACTGCCTAGATCTCTCCCGTGTTGCGTTGCTTTGGTGTGACTGTGAGAAGCTTCGTTCCTCTTCCTTCTTCCATCCGTTTGTTCTGATGGTGAGTGAATAGCATCCCTCTTCTCTCCTTTATTCAGATGTTGGATATGAATGTATGGGGAGGGGATTTGAAACAAACTAGAGATTGAACCCCAAGAGAATGTTTCCACTTGGTGATTTCATCTTAGTTGCTTGATAATTGCTTTCTGACCATAGATGGGGATTTGGATTTTCTTTGAGTTCAAAACTAGCTTTTGCTAAAGGAATAAAATTTAGGAAGTTCAATTAATTTAAATATTGATATTGAAATTTTTTTTTAAAGGAATTGGAGAGGAAGAAGCTTAGTATTATAGTTTGAATATCGATGCTTGTAACGCGTTTGGTAAAATGTTTGATAAGAAAAAACTTTTGTTATTTGATTGATAATTAAACTATTTAGAAGGTAATTACTTTTCACAAAAAAAGCTGGAATTGGAACTAGAGATTTTGGAAAAGCACAATAAATTTAATTATGAATGTTTAGAAGTCAAATTTGTTAGGCAATAGATTGATGATTTAAAAGTTTATTTGACTGGTTTGAAAAATGATGCACTCAAGGTGTTTGACATATGTTACAGGAGAAAGTCATTCCACTGGAATAAGTAATTATGACTGAGATTATATAAATAAATCTTGGGATATAAATGGAGGTGCATTAGGGCACTTTGAATTATATTAGTGTTGAAGGGGAATTATTTTACTTATAGACAATCTATTAAAATTTATTATATATAAATTTTGTTTTAGGATGCTGGGAGGAAGAGAAACTTATTAGGAGTTGAAATTAAATGAGTGAATTTTAGTACATGGGAATATTGCAGGTAAGTGGATAGCGTCCCAATCAGTTTATCATGTAGTTTTTCTTATTGAAATTTATTTTTTTATATAGATTATTTTAATAATAATTATGTTAATTGATGGATACTTTATTAGTTTATCATGGCATATGAATGTTTTACCCCTTATGAGATATTTTTTCAAGATTGATAAAAGTCATTTTCACAAGCATTGGCAATTTTTGATTATTCAATAAATGCAAGCATGAGCAT